CCTAATGTTATTCAGGAGACCAAGAAGAACCAACAAAAATTCCCTATGGTGGTAAAGATGAAAAAAACATTTTTTGTGGGCATCACAGTGATGCAGAGAACGACACCCTTCACATCTATAAGCCAGAGTCTCGTAATGATGGTCCCCTGTGGCCCTAAGAATTCTCATTAAAAAAAACACTGTACTGATCTCCATCTACAATAAATGCACTGCTTTTTATGGGGGACTCTAAATTCATAAGGGGCTCATCGAAGGCATCTAAAGGGGAAAAGGTTTTAAAATTTTTCCCTAACTTAAGAGCTACGAAATCACAGGAAGATCTGCTGAAACCCTCACCCGCGTTATGAGTTACAAATTCATCTTACATCTTAACTGCTTCATCATCTCAAGAGACTAGGAAGTGAGTGTTCTTTCAGAAGGTGGGAAATTTAGAGCAGTTCTACTCTTTCAAAAACATTTTATTTCTCATTTTTATTTTATGTGTATGAATGTACTGCCTGCATGTGTGTAAGTGCACCTGTGTCATGCAACAACTGCAGAGATGAGAAGAAGGCATTGGATTCCCTCGTAACTGGAGTTATGGATGGTTGTTAACTGCCATGTAGGTGCTGGGAATCAAACCTGGGTCCTCTGCAAGAGCAACCAGTGCTCTTAACCCTGAGCCATCTCTCCAGTCGCAGAACAGTTTTACTCTTAATGAGTATCATTCTAATGATCAAGAACTTATTGGGGTTTATAGTCTGTTAGGAAGTATGAAAGAAATTATATTCAAAGATAAGCTAGATGTTAACAATACTGAGACCTCCTTGTTCCTGGTAGAGCAGAAATATAGAAAACTGTGTGGGAAGCTTTAACAGTGTGAGAATAGAGACAGAAATGTGAAACTCAAGGCAAAAGACAAATGTATCACGAGGATAAATTTTGAGTAAAACCTAGAGAAGAGTTGATCCACTGTTACAGGCATTTTATGCTCCAGTTGCTGCCAGAGTCACTGGGAAGAACGGAAACACCATCACACTGAAAAGTTTTCTATCACAGTTGTACCTCAGTAGTGTGAAGAAATCAGAACTTACCATTGATACATATGAGAACTATCATACCAAGATCTATCAACTAAAGCTATCAATCAAAAGTCATCAAGAAACACTATCAAGCTACATGTACCCTGATATGAGACTTATTAAGAATGGATGGGGAGGGGAGTTGAGTATAGGGGACTGTGGAACCTTCATGAAGCTCTCCTATAAATTCCAAAATGCCTAAAGGAAGATCTTTTGTCAGTTGAGTGTGACTTGGTCATGCAGTAAATAAGGTAATATCTAAAATATATTTTAAAAGTGTTAGTTTCTTTCTCCTAAGCTCTAAGCAACCACAGTTTGGGAATTTCAAGTTTTTTTTTAATTATTGTTCAGCATTCAAAATTCAATTAAGCAAGGATTTATAAAGCGCTTATTCTTTCCAGCACATGTTTATGTGGCCTGATTTTTCAAGTGTGTTAGAGAGTAATCCACTATTTCAGTACATATTTGAATAAAAGCCAAAGGAACAAATCATGCGCTGGGGAGTACGTACTCAGGGAGTTGAAAACACATGAAAGGCTTTCTGCAGAATATGGGATTTTCCTTACTTAGACTGAAAGTTTGGAGACAGCAAACTTTTCAGAAGTCTCTTCCTTTTTTTTTTCTGTAGGAGCCAACCTTGTTAAAAATTCTCATTACCATAAAAAGGTATGTGGATATGGAAAGAGTAATCAATACAAGGCCTGATTAGTGAGGCTTCTAAGGGGAAGTAATATTTGAATTTTATTTTCAAGGAAGATGTGTTTTTTGGTAGGCAGAGACAATCACTTTAATTAAGGAAAATAGCATGTGTGAAGTAGAAGAGCCAAGAGGGGACATGCTGGATTTTAGAAACTGTGTGGTGTTGCTTGTCTATGGTTGACAAGAATGAAAACTGACCAGTCATACCTTGCACTCACGCTAGAGAACGTTCATTGGGGAGGCTTTGTAATCAACCAGTCAAAAAAAGTGTTTCAGAACTCTCAAAACCTTGCTATAAATGTACCATGTAGGTAGGCTTACCACCCATATCATGTTCAGCAAATCGAACACCTCTCTAAGCTACATTTTTCTCATTATAAACAAGGTCATTTTAATAGCACTTGTCTCTTAGAGGAGCTTGGAGAGTACGTGCAACTGTACAATTGAAATATGCATGAAAGATCAGAAGTTATTAGTACTATCTGCCTCTTAAACAATAGCGATCTAAATCACATCTATAATAAACAGCATGAGAGTAGATTTGACATAAAAAGAGCCAGAAATAGCATTGGGCATGGTGGCACACATCTTTATTCCCACCACTTTGGAGGCAGAGGTATTTGGCATTCGGATCTGTGTGGGATCAAGGCCAGCTTAGTCTACAAGGGTAGTTCCAGGCCAGCCATAGCTATAGGAAGACCTTGCCTCAACACTGCCCTCCACCTTCAAAAGCCAAAAGCAGGAAAAGAACAGGACTAGGAGAAGGAAGTGACATATATATTCACTCTGTATGGTATAGGGTGAGTAGTAGAGGAAATTTTACATAAAGATCAAGATTCGGCAAACAGATCTGTAGGTGTGGAAGTGAAATGTCTGGATGAAAGATGTGAAGGAATATGTACACACACATCCCAAAGGAAGCTTTACGGCAGCACTCTGATGTGTCTGTAAGCAATTCAAATAGGAGACGAGAGGACATGTCAGTGTGTGGGGAGGATGACCTATTCTGCTCTGAAAACTTTGGCGTTCAGTACTTTGAAGAATTATCGTACTGGAGATGTGCCAGAAGAAATTTGTGACAGGATCTCATTTAGTCCAGATTGGCCTTGGATTCTGTATAGCTGAGACGGCCTGTGAACTTCTTATCCTCTTTCCTCCTCCTCCCAAGTGCTGGGATTTCAGGCACGTACCTCAAAGCCCAGTTAAAAGCATTTTTTATAAGGTGTGGAATTGGGGTATCATATCTCTACATCTCTATGGTAATCCAAGAAAAATTCTGTGTGAGTGAAATTAAAACAAATCACATGACTCTTTGAGGACTGCTTGAGTAGACATGTTGCTTGTACGAGGCCCTTTATATTAGATGCTCCATGTGCCAGCGAAAGGCTCCCCTGATCTTCACCTGTTGCTTGTGGTCTGTCATTCCACTCTCCATCTGAGTAGGTCATCTCTTTAGAGAGGTCTTCACTGACTGAATAAATAACTGAACTACCACATCACAGAACTCCATGTTGTATGCCTTATAATTTAGTGTCTGGCACAACATGAACATTTAGTCAATATATGTAACTACTCTGTACCTCACTCTCCTCTTCAAAAAATCTGAATGATTAATCCTACCATAAAGGTTTGCGAGGATTATCTAAAACAGCGCTATCTAACACATTTTGTGGTGCATTGTTAATATAAAACAGGTGCTGGTTATCTGGTCTTTTATTATATTCTGCATCCCAAACTATAATACATATAATTAGAAATCAGTAAGCCTTCAAAAAACAATATAGTTTTGCCTTTCATTTTATTTAATCTTTGTATATCTTGCAGGATAATTTCCATCCATCATATCTTTCTCAATTTCCCCCATACCTTCTTTTTTCTACCCAGTTTCCTTATTTTTCTTTTCCTTTACTTTAAAAAGTAGCTGAAATAAAAAATCAAAGTTCTGTGGAGAGTCCTTGTGGCAATTTTCTGTCCTCTTTATCTTCTTCACAGATTATACGTGTAATGAATCGCCAAAATAGAACCATGACTTCTCAAAACTGATCTGGGGAAATTAATTAAAATAGAAATATGAATTTGCAAAACTGATCCAAGGAAATCAAATAGATTCTTTTTCCTTTTACAATGCAAAGAGAACCATTTAACTTTGCGACTGTTCTGGATATTCTGCTGAAAAATCAAAATTTTATCAGACCATTATGACCACAGTTTTCAGATCTGGAATGGTACAGTATCATCGAGATCATAGTAACTCCTAGTTCATGATATTATCTTATGCACTTGGAAAAGAACTTCAATGGGAAGTTCTTAAAAACTTAAAGATTATGGATATGTTTAAAGAACTACCAGACTAAAACAAAGAATGTATGTCTCTCCATCTTCAATTATTAGACCAAGAAAGGAACTCAAAAGCTACACAAGCTGAACTCTGACCTGCTCATTGTCACAAAAGATCATTCTTGGAGACACTGTGTTATGGAGAGAACAATAGAAATAGGATTGCACTGAACAAATAAATGAAAGTTCTCTGGAATCTGTCACTGATTCATATAGAATTTTCAAAAGATTATTTTTAGAGTAAGTGATTAGATTATGCATTCCCTCAACAGATTTACAAGCACTGCTGAGGGCTAGGGGACCATTGGATGAAAAGCGTGATTTGAAAAGTGACACATATCATAAACAAAGGACGAGACACTCGTATGTCCTATGCTTCTTCCTTACAGGTCCAGAATGGAGCAAGAACAATGAGAAATGCTTTCATGCACAGAATGCAAAAAGAAATCTGGAGCTACTCTGTGAAGTTTATACAGATTCTCACACGAGATTCATTTCCCTGCACTTCTAGTCTCCCATCTGGACTTCAGCTAGGTCCATTTAACTTCATTTTTTTACAGTGATTGATTGATGTGTGTATGTACTTGTGTGTGTCTGTGCACCTCCACATGCCACAATATATACTTAGAGATCAGAGGACAATTTATGGGTGTGAGCTCTCTCCTTCTACCATGTGGGCACCTGAGATTCAACCTAGGTCATGAGGCTTGGCAGCAAGTGCCTTTACCTGTGTGATCTCTCCTGACCTTAACTCCCTTTATACAGGCTCCTTTTTTACTGTTCTATATTTGCTCGGATGATCATAGACATCCTAATGACATCAGGAAAGAATCTCTACACAGTCATCTCAGAATCTTGACATGTGTTCGCCTCTGGGGTAAAACTGCTGCAATTACCATAAGGATGGTCAACCACACAACAGTGACCACATTCCTGCTGTGGGGATTTTCCAGTTTCCCAAAACTGCAGAATCTACTCTTTGCTGTGATTTTCCTCTTCCATGTGACCATCCTACTAGCAAATGTGTCCATCATGGTGGCCATCAAGCTCAGTCACAGCCTTCACACCCCCATGTATATCTTCCTCTTTGCTCTGTCCCTTTCAGAAACCTGCACCACTATGGTAATCATCCCCCGCATGTTAGTGGACTTGCTGTCAGAGAGCAAGACCATCTCTCTCCCTGAATGCGCCACACAGATGCTTTTCTTCTTTGGTTTGGCAGCCAACAACTGTTTCATCATGGCTGCCATGTCTTATGACCGTTACACCGCCATCCACAACCCACTGCAGTATCACACCCTCATGACGCAGAGGATTTGTTTCCAGCTCATTATGGGTGCTTTTGTGATTGGATTCCTGTGTTCCCTGGGCATTACCATCACCATATTCAATTTGTCTTTCTGTGATTCCAACATAATCCAACATTTCTTCTGTGACATTTCACCTGTGGTTTACCTTGCCTGTGATTTCACTTCTCGTCATGCAATGCTTATTTTTCTGCTCTCTGCATTTGTCCTTGTGGGAAGTTTTGTTTTAATTATGGTTTCCTACGTCTTCATAGCATCCCTCGTTGCAGAGATGCCTTCTGCACAGGGGAGATATAAGGCCTTTTCAACTTGTTCCTCCCACCTCACGGTTGTGTCTATACACTATGGATTTGCCTGCTTTGTCTACTTGAGACCAAAGAGCAGCGACTCTTTCCGTGAAGACATGCTGATGGCTGTAACATATACAGTACTGACACCTCTGCTTAACCCCATTGTTTATAGCCTGAGAAACAAGGAAATGCAGACAGCTCTGAGGAAAGTACTAGACGGTATAATTAAAATTTTGCCTTGGTTAACAAATAAAAAAACTCTGAACCTGTAATCAAAGCTACTAAGCATTGACAAGCAGAAATGGAAAAGGTATTTACAGTAAAAGTTACTGCTTAATGTGCAAAGTAATTGAAGTGTTGTCTAACAATCTGATAAGTCCTGTTCTCCCCATTTCCCTACTACAAGTAGAATGCAATGCATATATGTACACTTAATGAGCCAGCAAACATTAAAATATGGTGACACATTGTATTTTCATAGTCACAGTTGCTTTGGTGGGAGAGAAAATTATCATATTGAAGAGAGGATATTAAAAAGAAAAAGAACTCAAAAAAGGAAGAGAGAACTAGAAAAGGAAGAGCAAAAGCGAGAGGGAGATGGGGGGAAGAGAGTGGAAAACAAGAACCAGTGGTGCAATTGGTTGACAAAGGAGAAAGAAGACTGATATAGAATTGAGGATAAGGTGTGATCACAATACTGAGAAAAAGTCAGCTTAATTCATATCTAAATGATTAATGTCTATCAAAAATCAGAACTTAGAATATAACACGTGGATTTGTGCAAAAGATAAACTGAAAAACATAATTTCCAAATCAACGGACACTTAAAAATTATTTCTATTTTTATGTGTATCAGTGATTTGGTTACATGTATATAAGTACACCATGTGTGCATGCAATGTCTGCTAAGATTAGGAGAGGGTGTCAGATCCCCAGGAACTGGAGTTATAGATGGTTGTTAGCTGTCAGGTGGGTGCTAGGAACCAAACCTGGGTCCTCTGGAAGAGCTGTCAGTGCTCTTAACCCATCTCTCCAGTCATCTCTCCAGTCCCTCAACAGAAAATTTATCACGTTAATTTTCATGGACATTTCTGAAAATCTGTCAAGGTACTCTTCTTGTTTCCTCCTTCCTCAGATATGTCTGATGGCTTAGTAATTACCCTTCTCTTAGTCAAAAGGCCAAGAAGAAATCATGGCGTACTAATTAATTGGATTAAGTATTCAAGGAAATATATTAATAGTATTTGAATGGTTTGGACTACAAAGATAGCTTCCCACTTATGAACCTCACAGTGGTGGAAATTGCTGTGTATTCTGCGGTCTGATTGGCTATGGTAATGAGGTTCTGCTTGTATGAGACCAGATGACACTGTGTTGGCAAGAAATACTGAACTTACGTTGTCCATGTCATTAGAGTGGCTCAATAAAATATCCACATGATGTTTGAAATCAGATTCCCTCACAAGTAATGGTATCAAAGTTAATTTTGTTATCTTATTGGCTATTTGTGTAACTAATTAGAGAAAATAATTTTCAAATTTTTCCTTAACTTCTATTTTTATTTTGGAGACGTACGTGCATGTGCATTTGCCTGCATGTATGTAAGCACACCATGTGTGTTCCTGGTACCTGAGGAGGCAAGAAGAGGACATTGGATCCCCTAGACCCAGAATATTAGATGGTTGTGAGCTGCCATGAGGGTGCTGGGAATGGAACCTAGGTCCTCTACAAGAGCAGCAAGTGTTCTTATCTGCTGAGCCATCACTCCAGCTCTGTTTGCCTCACGTTTCATTGAGGTATTTGTGTTGAGTTTTAAGTGTTTTTATTGACATAAATACCCATCCGTAAACACATATATAGTGTATAAACACTTCCTCCCATGTTTCTATGATTTCTTTGCTTTATTCCTAGTTTCTCTTGAAATGTAGAGGTTTTTGGGGTATTTTTAAAATTATTTTTATTTTATGTGCATGAGTGTATTGCCTACATGTAGGTAAGTGCACCTGTGTCATGCAATGCCCATGGAGGACAGAAGAGGCTGTTGGATCCCCTGGAACTGGAGTTATGGACAGTTGTTAGCTGCCACGTGGGTGCTTGGATTCAAACCTGGGTCTCCTGCGAGAACAACCAGTGTTCTTAACCACTGAGCCATCTCTCCAGAAGTTTTTGTTTTTAACATGGTCCCATATATTTTTTCTATTTTTCTCTTATTTTGAGTGTAATGACTAGGAAGCCATTCCTTAGTATTGGATTGTGAAAATTTCTGCTTGCTGTCCTTAAAATTTTATATATTTAGACATTGCATCTGGATATGCAATCATTTGGATTAATTTTGTATATAGAATGGGGTAAGTGTCCAGCCTTACCTTTTGTTTGTAGATTTTCACTTGGCCCAGCAGCATTAAAATCCAGTTTGCTCATTGTTAGTACAAAGGAAATGTCTTTGATTTTCTGCTTGTCTCCTACAAACTTCCTGGATTTGTTTATTAGTCCCTACCATTTTAATACATTTCTGAATTTTCATATATATATATGTGTGTGTGTGTATGTGTGTGTGTGTGTGTGTTTGCTACCCATGAAATTATATCCTATGCAAATAGATAAGATTTACATCTTCCTCTACATAGTAGATGGCTTCTATTTCTTGTTCCTGCTCATTTTCCCAGATACTTCCATTGCAATGCTGAACAGAAGCAGCAAAAGTAGGCATCCTTGGGTGAAAACATCCAGTATTGGCCACTAGGTGTGATGTTGTCTTAAGTCTTGCTTTTACTTGCCTTCATTGAAATTATGACATATTTTTGTTATATGTATATAATGCTTCATATATATTTATACCATATAGGTAGCATATCTAACACAGATTTGTACATAACAATAACTGCTTTTCTAATGATAAACCAATCTTGCTTTTATGAGGTAAGTCACATTCAGCCATGTGTATAATCCTTTTTATATGCTGATGGATTAAATTCAATGCTAGTGTTTCTTTGTTTTGCATTCATTTTCACAAGACAACCTGTAAGTCACTTTTTATAACGTGGTTTTTTAGAATTCACACTTTTCAGCTATCTTTTTGCATAAAATTGTTCATGTGATGCGTTTGAATCTTTTAAAATTTCAGGTGGATGTTACAAATATCCTCTATTATTTATGATTACAGCTTCTGGGTCCTCTGTTTTCTTCAACAATCTAGATGAAGTTTTGTCAATGTTAATAGACTTTTCAAAGAAGCAGACTTGTTTGTTATCTTTCTATTCTTTATGATTTTAATTTCTACTCTAACGCCACTGTGTTCTTTCTATTCACAAACTAGAAACACTCCAGTTTCCCATGAGTAGAAGAATAATTTCTCAAACTAGCATGCTCACACAAAGGAATGATATTAGTCCATAAAGGAATAAGAACTATGGTTACAACCAGCATTTGGAAAACATTGTGCTAACTGAAAGAAATTTTATGAAAAGAGTAGAGACTGCATGGCACATGACATTCTCAGAGCTACCACATGGGTTACCATGTTCTTACAATAATGCTTATGCATTTACCAATATATAATGATTATAAATGGATGTTTTGCACATTTTATTTCATGTAAATATGAGCCAAACTGCATAGAATAAATCAGGTAAATAATGGACTACTGATATTCATTTATGTGCAGAAGTATTTGTATGGTAATATACTGACAACTTCAACTTTCTTTGACAAATACTTAAAACATGATAATCCAATGCCTACATAAAAAAACAAAGAAGTAAATGATAAAATATTGTAAAATGTTTGGAGATGTGTAATGCATTTTACAGAAAGTTTGACAGTAGTAATTCTAGTCCCATATACTTTCCTAGAATTTTGTCAATTCCCTGTGAAGAAATGTGGTTTCATCTCCTTTAGGCTGGGAATAACTTCAGTACACCTTAATTGAAAAGCTCAGTACAAGCAGGTAGGACATAAAAGACTGCGGCATTTGCTAGACTCTCATGGATGTTCTGTTGTGGAATCTACTCCCCACTTCCCCATTAGGGAGGCTGAATCTTCATTTCAGGTGTCAAGCATCATCAGCATCTGCAACCAGGCACAAGAGTGAACAGGAGACTTAATTTTTTATTCATTCTGAGCCTTACATTTATGAATACATTGTAATAGTTTAAGAGCAATAAATTTTGTGGTAGTTCATTATGTACTATCATGTGGAAGAATCTAGGTGGTAAATATTAATGGTCACAGTAACTTTCTTCTACTGGGTAACAGCTTTATATGATAGGAACTTTTCCTAGCCATCTACATAGGACATAAGACTCAGAGCCTTAGCAAGTTTTCAGAACTACTAGGAGTATATTGAATAAGAAGTAAAATTTTAAAAATCACTTTTGCTCTAAACTTGTTTGAACAAGGTAAATTATAATTATTTTAACCATTTTCAGATAGCAAAAATAAAAGAAATCAGAATGTAATGTAAGAATCACAACAATGTCTTGGGGACATCATAAAGCCTTCAAGTTCTGCAGAAGACAGTCCTCCTGGTATAAAAAATGAGGGGTCATGTTCACAGATCTCAGGTGGCCTTGGAACTCTCATTTGGTATGCATCAAAACTCAGTCCCAGCCACAATGAACAGAAAAGACACTGCCTTATTGTCATAAGATAATTCACTTTAGAAAGAAAGTGAACTCATCACGGACATGCAGAGGGGGAAATGGCTTAAATAGTATATCCACAAATTACATAGCAGTGAGAATTGCAGAAAACTGTGCATTTGATGTAAGTTCTTTTTAACAGTGTATTTTTTCTTATTTTAAAGTAATTGGAAGTTATTCCTCTTTGGTATGAAGTAGGAATTTATTTTTGTATTTCTAATTGTCATGAATATTTTTCACATCCACTAGCGACCAGGTGCTTTTGGGTATTAACAGAGAGAATGTACTGAGGATCCTAAGGGTACAAGGGCTTAGAAAACCATAAACCGAAAATAAAACTGGAAACACCTAATGTGGAGTATGCCGAAGAAGACTGACTTGGACACCTGAACAGAATCTAGAACAATACAGCAGGTATTCTGTGAACATGAAAATATTGATAAGCACTGGCAAGAAAAAGTTGCCTATTAACTATGTGCTGTCTTAGCAAATGGGAATGTAACTATCAATTATTAAACAGAAACTGTTTTGTAATTCTGTATGCACAGTGTGTTAATACTGCAGAAAAGTATATGTAGTTACAAGGAGGAAAATAGTTATAGGAATAGGAAATTATTTAATATAAGTATGTA